GACTCAAGCTGGGTGTCCAACAACCGATGAACGGATGGAGATCTGAAATGCATGGGCAGTAAAAATATTTACTGACAAAAAGAAAATCCTGCCCGAGTTAACATGGAAGGTTCTAGGTAAAATGAAATGTTAGACACGGAAAGACCAACAATCTCACTGGTAAGTGGAATCTGAAAAGGTTCTCATGTAATTTGGAACAATGGTTGCCGCAGACCGGAGAGGGGATATGGAGGATGTGAGGAGAACTGAATAAACAGATGCTGTTATAATTGGATAAAAGAAACAAAGGTTTGACATTAAGTCATACATAATAGCGACTATAACTAACAATAATGTCTATTTGAAAATAGTTGGAAAGTAGATCTAGAAAGCTCTTAGCACAAAGAAATGGTAAATGTTTGAAGTGATAGATATACTAATTTCTCTATTATTACACATGTTATCAATAGCAGTCTATACATAATAATTGTGTCAGTTTTTTTTAAATCAACATTAACATTTTTTTTTAAAGATTTATTGGTTTGTTATGTATACCGTGTTCTGCTTGCATGTACACCTGTGCACCAGAAGAGGGCACCAGATCTCATTATAGATGGTTGTGAGCCGCTACATGGTTGCTGGGAATTGAATTCATGACCTTTGGAAGAGCAGCAAGTGCCCTTAACCTCAGAGCCATCATCTCTCCAGCCCCCATACAATTTCTTTTTTTTTTTTTTAATTTAGTAAAACTCTTACTTCCCTTATTTAGCAATACTTCCTTCTTTTTAAAATTTTACCATTCTATTTATATATATTTTCATATGAAGGAAAAAATTTGGTATTTACAAATCAGAAACTTTTTTTGTTTTTCTTTATATCAAACTTGCAACCATATAAACAACTCATGACTTTCTACACCTTGTAAATTTTCAGGACAGACCTGAGAACTTCTCTGCCTTTTAACTATCAATGATGGACTATGTGTGTGGTGGTTAAGTATTGGTACTCTCAGGAAAGAATGAGTGGAGTAACACTCGATCTTGATTGTCAGGTTGGTGAGATTTAGAAACACCAGGAAAACGGAGCCCCAAGGCGGGTCTCGGATAACTGAGGAGGGAATGCCCACTGCAACCTGGTGGTACCAGTCCCTGGGCTGGCTCCTGCGCTGGAAAGGGAGACAGCTAGCTGAGCAGTCCCATTATCACCCTGCTTCCTGACTGAAGATGCAATGCAACCTGCTGCCACAAGCTCCTGACACTATTACTTCTTTACCAGGATGGGCAGCTACCACCAAATGAGCCCAAACAAACACTTCTATAGATTGCTTTTGTCTGTTATTTTGTTTCTGCAATGAGAAAGCTGGGGGTTTGGAATAAGAGTCCACCTAACTGCTAAGTTATCAAGGAATTAATGTGACCTAAAGTAACAGGTTTGTTCTACTTCAACCTTCTCCCATTGGAGAGAAGGTGTAGTTAGTTGATCCCCATATTTTGGGTGAGTATCTGAAAGAGGCAAAGAAATGCTCTTTCTTAAAGTTTTCAGAGGATGCTAACTTGATTCTGGATTTCTAGCCTGAAGTGTGAGATATAAAACTGAAGTTTTAGATCATAGTTTATGGTGCTTAGTTATGCTAGTTGTAGGGTAGGGATGTAATATGACAGATCTGAAGTTCATCTTGATGATTTGGCTTTCTTTGAGGAAAATATTGGCTAAAATTAAAAGTTTCAATTTGTACCCAACTTTTTTTTTTTTTTTTAAAAACTGAATTATATACCATTTTACCATTTTATCCATTGGCAAAAAGTACACAATTCAATGGTGTAAAATATATTTGAAAGGGTGTTCACACATATTTTTAAGAGTCAGTTTTAGTTCCAGGCATTATCCAGTCAGGAAAAACAGAGTGTACTAAGTCTTGTAGTATAATCCATTCTGAAAGTATTTTTTGACAGTGTCTAGGGCTGAGTGCTTTTTTTTTTTTTCACCCTAGCAAAATAATATTTTGCCATATTTATACTGAAATTTTGAAAAGTAAAGGAAAAACAAAAGTAAAATGTAAATACACTACTAGGAAAAAAAACTCAAAATGATTTCTACTGATGAACACAATTTTTCACTTTCATAATTAAACTGTTTACCTTTTATGTTTTAGATGGTGAACTTTTAAATTATTAAATCTGTATAATAACAATAAACTCTTGGCCAACTCCATTTCCTCACAAATAGACTCAGCTTTTTTGTTTGTTTCTCAAACTTAACTTTCTCCTAGTCCTATGAGTTTCCTAAGACAAACTGTCAGTGTATGAAACTGCTACTTTTATCTATCATCCAGAAAATTTTACTTGATACTAGAATGAATTCTGAGATTCTTCTACACTGTAATAGTAGACAACTCTACTTATCATTCCAAGACTCCTAAAGTATGCTAAAAAATTCACAATATCAAAGTCTACATACTTTCTTATTAGTTCTCACTGTATACCTTAGTAACCTCAGAGACCTTTCATCTTTTCACTGCTGGACGAATTTTACAGCTTCTCTTTGGCATGTCTGAATTACTACCACTAAGCGCTTGGTACTGGGACAGCTGCTCTGATAACCAAGACGAATGTTCAGTGACTAAGGCATGGGCTCCTTAGATGGGTTGGACAGGGGGATGATTCACAACACAGGCAGGACCAAACAGAATTATATGTGATTGCATTACACTAAGAATGGTGCGCATTTTACAGCTTGAATGTTTTACCTCAACAAACTTTGTCTAATTTTCTATATCCTTTAGAATGAATACAATGAAGCATGATCATATGTGCTTTCTAACTTGAACAATTTTCTATTTAATACTTTTGGACCATAGCTATGCAAAGAACTGAAACCATGGAAAGCAAAACTGTGGGAACTAGGGTAGTAAAGTATAAATTCTAATTGTTAAAGTTTATGGAATTTGGGAGAGAAATATACTTATTGAACAAAATAACTGGAACACAAGCATCTAGTTTCATTATTTTTCAGTAATTTCAGTACTATATTTAGTAAAATATAACAATCCATGTAATCAAGAGACTTAGTTCATATTCATCATAGTCAGTTACATTTTAATGAATTACATTAGAGATGCAGTTCAGTGGTGGAGTGCTTGCTTAGTTAGTGCGTGTGAGGCCCCAATTCAAGACACAGTACAGAAAATGTAATTCACCAATATTTTTATGTATGCAGAAAGTTCTTTGTTCTGTTATTGATTTGTGAAAGTGCTAGTTATTTTCACATGAATAACTATAAAATGTTTTAAGTTATAGAGGGTTTGCCCATTTAGTCTATTATCTTCTTTAAAGTTTGAAAGAACCCGTTAGTGGGCATGTTTAGTCAATACTAAATCAAGTAGAATTTGCGTGTACCACAGAGAATAGAATAGCCTTGAAAGCTTATGATGTAAACGACTATTTTATCTCAACTTTAGTTTGAGATAAATGATTCATTTGGGCATACTTTCTCATCTTCCTCTTTTGAAACCAGGTAGGACTTCTTCTAACACTAGGATTATGGGAGGTGAGTACATAGTCTGGCTTAAAAGATTTAATACACCGTCAGAAATACTATCTATACATGTCTTCAAACACTCATTATTTTATCCTTCCTCAATTCCAGCCATCATTTCTTTTGTACTCTCTATTATTTAAGGACACAATGTGAATCCTCAGTGACTGGATGAGTAATAATATGGTCCATCTGGAGCAATACAAACCCCATATAACCATCAAACCAACTCTTGAGATTTTGGTATAAATGCGGATGATTAAACATTTTTGATACTTTGCTTTTGACGCTTTTGGGTTTTACTACGGTGAGCAAATGAGAAAACACATACACACACTTAAAAAAAAATTACTGAGCCAGACAAGGGTATTTAGCAATCATACAAAAATAGTTAAGAGGTGAATAATAACACTTTGTGAAAAGGACACGGAACTAAAAGAGCACATTTGCACGGTAATCTCATATTCCAGAAATACTGAAATGAATCTTAAAATGCCATGGCAACTGATTGTGGGTTCAATGCGTGCGACACATGTTTTTAGTCTAAGTAGAGGGGGCTTAGGGCCACAACCAGGGGAGAGCAGAGGGGGAGAAGGCAGCGATCTCCACTCCCCAAGCCCTGCAGACGCCTCAGCTTCATCTGCAAGGTCTGGCTGGGCTGCCTCCGGGCTCAGGCGAAGCGAGCCCGAGATCGCCGCGGAGAGCTGCCTGCGGGTCGCAGCGGACGAGGCACAGGAGCGCCCCGTCCCTGCCCGAGAGGGGACCCCGGTCACAGTCGGCCAGCGTCCCGCCGCCCACGCAGCTTCCTAAGCTACGTCCGGGTTCTCCGCGCCTCCCCGGGGGAAGCCGAGCCCACCTCGCCGCCGCACCCGGTCCGGAGCGGCTCGGCCGCGGCCACAGGCGGCGGGGCCCTGACGACGGGCTGCAGGCTCGGCGGGGGATTGCTTCTGCCTGGGGCCCGCCGAGGCGGCTGCGTCCGTGCCCCGCGCGCGCCCGCCCGCAGCCGCGTCCGCCCCGCCAGCCCCGCGCTCCTCCCGCGCGCCCAGGAGCGTTCCCCACTCGGTCCCACCGAGGCCGGGGCCCGGCTCCTGGCCCGAGCTCCCCGGCCCCTCCGCAGCCTGGAGCCCCGCTCGTCTCCTCCCCTCACTCTCCACGAGTCGCACGCCTCGGGGTGTAGCTCCGCCCCCCCGTCCCCGAGTCCCGCCCCCGCAGCCTCCCGAGCGTGTGCTCCCCTCCTTCCCCCGCCGCCGGTCTCTTGCCATCCAGGCGTCTCGCGGAGCCTCCGGGGTCCCGCCGGCCCACGGCCCCGCCGCCTCCGCGCTCGCCCGCAGCCGGGCCGCCGCTCCTCCCACCCCCTTCCCCCTCGGACCGCTGGTCGCGCGGCCCGGACTCCGCCCCCTCCGCGGACCCGCGCGCTCCCGGCGCGGCCTCTCCCCGCCCCCTCCCCGCGCCCCCCCCCTCCCCCCGCGGGGCCCCCGGGGGCTCGGCCCCCCCCTTCCCCGCCCGCCCCGCGCTCCCCGGGCGCCCTCGCTCGCGCGCTCTCCGAGGCGAGCGCGCTCCCGGCCGGCGCGCTCCGGGCTCCGGCTTCTCCCGGCTCCTGTCAGTGCGGTGACTGCGCTGGGAAACATGGCGACCGAGGGGATGATCCTCACCAACCACGACCATCAAATCCGCGTCGGAGTCCTCACAGGTAACCGGGGGCGGTGGGGGAAGGAGGTCTCGGGGAGCGCCGCGGCCGCTGTCCTCCGCCGGCCGGGGGCTGCTCGCCCCGTGGCGGTGCGGCCTCGGGAGGAGGGCAGGCTGAGGAGGGGGACCTGGGGGTGCGTTTTACAACCGGCGGAGGGGCTGCCGGGGATCGGGCTGTTCCTCCTGGGGTCCCCCGGGGAGCTGGGGCAGGACCTCCCTGGGGGTGCCGGGGTCCCCCGGCGCCCTCTCGGCCAAAGTCTCCGGCCCCCCGGGGGACCCGAGGGGCCGGTGCGGCGGGCGGGCGCTGCGGGGCTCGGCGCTGCCGGGGCCCCCGGCCGGCGGGATCCCGGCTCCGCAGTCTGAAGCACGCTGCCCGGGGTTGGCCGGGCGCCTCCTCCGCCGAGAGCTCTTCCGAGAGGGGGGAATCCCATCTCCACCCCCTTTGCTCCCCTCCCCCCCACACCACCACCACCACCACCACCACCACTACCCGGCGGGCCCCGTGGCACCTGCCTGACAGGACTCTGGGGTGTGTGTGTGGGGGGGGGGGGGTTCGGCCAAGGCGAAACTCTGCTCCGCCTCTGCTGCCCCTTCGCCGGCCGGCTGTCCCCCTCCCCGCGGCCGACGGGACACTCCTCGCCTCCTCCCCCCCACCGGGGGAGCCGGGTGAGAGGCTGTGGTCCGGACCCCCGGAAAGTGCCTTCCCTTCTGCCTTTTCCATTTGAGGGCCCTCCCTCTTCTGCCTGCCTCTTTGCCTTGGCGAGGACCGGCTGCTTCTCGTAGCCGGGAAATCCAGCTTCCCTCCCCCCCCCCCTTTTTTTTTAATCTTGAGAAGGATTCCCCTGCTTTTTTTCTTCTTCCCCTCCTTTTTGGGACCCTCCCCTCCCCTCCATCCTCACGCCCCGGTGGATGGTCCCGAGGCTGGTGAGGAGCGCACTTTTCCCGGGTCTCGTTTCCCTCCCTCGCGGAAGTCGTGTGTGCTCTGCATGTCTGATTCCGTGGCGTTGTATTTGGGTGATCTCCCCGAGTTTGGAGATAGGCATTTGCTGCAGGGCACGACTTACAAGGCGACTAGCAAGCCTGTTTGTAGGGGTTTCGGCTGTGGTTCTAGAGTTGGCGTGGTTCAAGTGTAATTGAATGGAGAAGCGGGGGTTAAGGAATTACATTTGGAGTGTGAGGCTTAGTGTGGAGTAAAGGAGATCCAAGACTTAGTGATGTGATTTCGGAAAAAGAAGCTATGTAGATGGGAATCCTAGTGTCTTCCCTACTTCATTTAAATTTTTCTTCTTTTTCTTCTTGTCGAATTCTGACAGGTTGAGATGGTGCCTGGGAAGAAACTAAATTGAATGAAACTTGCTTTTATTGTAAGGTAGAAACAAATCTTTGATTCTGCCAGTGGATACCGACTACAATGCTTAATTTAGCTGCTGACTTTTATGAAAAGGGGATACCCCCTGCTCTAGTTCCCCCCTTTTTAGTAACTGGATCTCCTCGCCATGATATATATTTGCAGAGGTTGAGAACAGTTTAATGAATTTTTCCAGAGTCAAAGCCTCTGGATTAAAGAAAGTAATCTAAATCAGTTGCAGGGAAGGACCCCCCTCCCGTCCCCCTATGAAACATGCAGATGATGTGCGTCTCTTCCTGCTTCACCTGTCTCCTTGTACGGTTGTAGCTTACAATTCTTAGAGTTGATCTTGTTGGTTTTTAAAAGAATCCGACAGTGTGATGTAAATGCGCATACCCTTTATCGTCTTTCAACTTTTAATTTTCGTCTCGTATATTTGGAAATTAATAGATGAGTGAAAGTGAAATTTTGTAGGAACCAAAATATGTCAGCTGTCTGTAGAAATTGAAAGGCCCTAGATGTTGAAAAGCTAAACTGTAGGGTTGTTTTTAAAGAGCATGCTTTATTTATTGATTCTTACGCTATATTTTTATTTTGTTAATTATCTTAATTTGGTCAGGTGACAGTACATAGTTATTGCGCAGAGTGCTTTGAAAGATGCAGCCCTTGTCTGTGGTCTGATAGGGATAACACTGATAAGTAAACAGACAAAAAGATGTATCATTTCTGTATAAAAGTTGTCTGAATGTAGTGCCTATGAATTTGGGGCATCGATGCTAAAGGGATTCAGTGTTTAAATTGATTAGCAGAAAATGTGATTACCTGAATGAAAATTTTAGTACATTTAATAGGGTCAAAAAGAACTGGCAGTTTAAAGGGGAATTGAAAGTCAGTGGCAGCAACCTTATAAATAAATATGTGATTGAAGATGAGGCTCTTGAGCAGAATAAGAATGCAGCAAACAGGCCTTGAGCAGCCCAGGTGGAAGAGGTAGGTGGCATAATGTCAAGGAGAGAGGATAAGGTTGGCAATGGAGTTAAAGACTATCCAGAGGAGCTAGCTCATGAGAATGAAGTACAGTAGTGTGGGAGGGAAAGTCTAAGGCCAGTCGTATGGGTGTAGTTGAAGAATGAAAAGAAGCTGTAGATTTAGATGAAATAGTAACAGGACAATAGAGTTTGATGATGGAATGGATATTTGAAATCAGAAGTAACTCTAGGGATTTTTCTGTTGAGGAATTATTGATATAAATACAGTATTGCTTACTATGATAGACCCTAAAAGCATGGAGAAAAATCAGTAGAAATAGCACTAGCTGTCAATCTGTGTATAGTTGATTTTATTACAAACTGCTTAATTTTATGGATTGACATTTTATGTGATCTTGAACAGTGTGAAAAACATCCTCTGAAAAATGAAGCTGTGTTGTTTCAGTTTGTGGACTTTAGAACAGTTATAGTGTAAGTGGTTCTTTCCTGAATTTTAGAGTAAATTAAAAGGCTACACTTGAAACTGTGATTCTTTCAAGTTATAATTTCTAGCTCTTTATTATCTAAATTAGCCTTAAACTATCCTGTTGCCTCCCTCCTTATCCCAGGTGCTGGATTATAGGCGTGCAATCACATCCAGCTAGTTTGTGGCTTTTTTTTTTTTCTTTTTCCTTTCCCTCCCTCCCTCCCTCCTTCTTTCCCTCCTTCCTTTTCTTCCTTCCTTCCTTCCTTTTCCCTCCCCTTCCTTCCTTCCTTCCTTCCTTCCTTCCTTCCTTCCTTCCTTCCT